GAGGGAAGGAAGGCCAGTGTGTGTGTATGTGTGTGTGGGGGGGTGTCTACAGGAGGTGGAGTGAAGAGGTTTGTTGGGGTGAACTGTAAAGGACCTGGGGAGAGGAGTGTGCAGGCAGAAGGCATTCCCGGCTGGAACCTGGAAAATGGGGGTGACATGGTCACAGGACGCTGGGATGCTGAGTAGAGCACCCAGGCTGTTGACAGCAGAGGAGCAGCCAGATGGCAGGCGGCCTTGAAAACGAAGCAAAATTTGAACTTGAGACCCTCTCCGAAACAGCTATGTGCAAGCGAGTGGCCTGCCGGAAGTGGGATTTGAGGACAGGAGCTTTCCTAGTTCTGTGAGTGTTGAATGATGATGGGGTGGCAATTTGAGCGTCCTCCGGTGTTTAAACGCAAAGGACACTTCTGAGCCTGTTACATTAGCCTCTTGACAGATTCACGATCTGATCTCAGGGAAGGAACTAGCTACAATGGAGGTGGAGCAGATGAGAGGCGATCGCCAGGTTTCTGCGCCCCGTGCCCACCCCAGAAGACTCACTTCATTTTACCTTAATTCATTTTAACTTCAACAGTGATGCCCTTTGTTAGTGCTGTATTGAGTAAGGAAAACAAAAAGTCTTGTTCAGGGTCACATTACCTAAAGGCCTCTGGACGGTTACAGAGAAAGTAACAGCATAAAACCATAATGGGAAGGAAGCTTCAGCACTTTTAGAAAGAAGCAGTCACGCTCATAGAAGCAAAAGATTCTTCTGGTCGATACGTGACACGCAGGGTTTGTAAAGAAGGGACCGGTTTTGGTGAGATGGATCACAGTCACTATGAGGCAGGAATGGTGACCCCTCAAAGCAGAATTCCAGAACCTCACCCTTTGTGGAGTGCAGCGCGAACAGATCCCTGGCTTTCCTTCAGGGCACGAGCCATAGGAGCTGCCAGAAGGGGGCCCTGTAGACGGGGGACTCCTTTACACTGGCCTTAGCTGGTTTTCCATCGCTTTTGCCGGTTTCCCCATGCAGACTAAAGCTGTCAGTGATAATTCTGGGACAAGGACTGGTTTGAAAGAAGCAGGTGACTGCAAATTGGTAAGTCGGGAGGACCCGGTGTGGAAACAGTCTTTATGAAGCCCCTGGGGCTAGGCATGTGCCTATCACACACCTTGGAGCAGGATCCTTGATTGGCTGCGTGCTGCCCTAAAACACGCCCTGTTCTTGAGCCCCTGGGCCGGAGCCACGCCCTAGAGGCGGGGCTTCCTGGGTGGGAGTGGTACCTGGGAGTGTCTGTGGCTTCTCCTAGTTTTGCTCCTGGGTGTGGAAAACGCTAACAAAGCCAACAGCATTCCCCCTCGTATGTTGTCCTATGTCGTGTAACATAAGTCACATGTTTACTTCCAGTTTCTCATGTGAGAGAGCCTTGACCCCATTGGGTAGATCTTGTACCCTGCGTTTCGCATAAGAAAACACACCCGCTTTGTGCCATAAAGAGTTCCTAGTGGAGATTCTGAACTACAATAGGCAGGGAAGGATTATGTGTCTGTGGGATTAAGGGCGAGGCCTCCCTTGCATTTTTGGTCTGCAGCCCAGCAATCCGATGCAGACCCAGTGACACACATTCTTGTCGTTTTACCTTGTCTTATAGGTGACGAAGCCACAAATAGCACGAGCCCTGTAGGGTATGTCCGTGCTGGGACCTTCTCTTGGTTCTCTCGGTGGAGCTGTGATACCAGGCCTGTCTGCCTACCAGGCCTGTCTGCCTGCCAGGCCGTCTGCTCATCTGCTGGGCTTTTCTTTCTTCAGCTCCTAGGAGTGGGGGCAGCGGTGGGAACGTAACTCTCCAAGAATGTGTGGGACACCCCAGCGTACAAAAAGAAAGAAGCCTTAAATGATAGTTGATATGTATCTCTATACGCTCTGTGGCCTGGAGCCCGTGAACCTGTTCTCATGTGGCAGGCCATTGGATAAAGATGTGGAAAATCAATTTGTACCAGTGTTGTTACTGGGGTCGGGTTCTTGGGGCTCCACAAGGATAGAAACTTGAGGCTGGACCCCAAAATCAAAGGCACAGGCAAGGCTCTACTGGGGCTACAGCTTGAGCTGAAGGAGACTCAGCACTAACAGAGAGTGGTTAGACTGGCCTGCTGGGACACAAGGGAGTAAAAGTTCTAGAGCAAAAACTCCCCCTCAGGTTCCCACTCTGGCTTAATATGCTAATGAAGGGGGGGGGGAGTACTTCATCTTTTCTTTTTAAAATTTGTTTTAAGTTTATTTATTTTGAGAGAGAGAGCACACAAGCAGGGTAAGCTTATTTATTTTGAGAGAGTGTGGAAGCAGGGTAGGATCAAAGAGAGAGAGAGAGGGAGAGAGAGAATCCCAAGCAGTCTATGCACTTTCTTTGCAGAGCCCCAGGCAGGACTCGATCCCACCAACCATGAGATCATGACGTGAGTGGAAATCAAGAGTCCCTTGCTTAACCGACCGAGCCACCCAGGTGCCCCCAAACGTGTTTCATCTTGATTGGTTGGAAGGGCCTCGTCCTGATTGGTTGATATTGGCAGGCAATTCAGGCAGCTCATTGGTTGGTGCTTTTAGGAGCCAGGGTCCTCTGTTTTAAGTCCAGCTTGTACGAGGGGCCGCATCTTGGTTCTGCTCTCTAAAAGAAGCGATTTAACAGTAACCGCCAACAGAAGGCCCCCGAGGTACGTAATGTTTTTCACGTGGGGCTTGTTCTCATGGTCCCTGTCTCATTGTGGTGATGAGAATGGCTTAGTGTAGAGGTTTTAATTAGGTTCTTAGGTTGAAAGCATATGTCTATACAGAAACACACACACACCCAGCGCACTCCTTTGTATGCATCTACAGGTACACATATATACCCTTAATTAGGCCTCAGTTTCATTAGCAGCTTGCTCTCGGTTTTCATTTAAAATTTATAGTCCCGTGACTAGACGGTGTCACCCAAAGCGACATGTGCTTGCACGTGGCCATTCCTGACCCAGATCCACTATGAGAAAACACCACTCTTTGTTTTGTTGAAGTACGTGGGTCCTCAACACCTCTCTGGCGCTGATTGGGGGGGGGGGGGG